CTACGCGAGCCATTAGCTTTGCTTTTACATATTAGAATTCATGGAAATATATTTAAATACCATGTAAAATAATCTGCTATGAAAAGGTATCCAAGGTTTTATGTTTTATTCATGTTACTATTTGTTTTATCTAATCTAAACAAAATAAAAACATTGCATATTTCATAAGCTAAGAAATAGAAAAATATCTAGGTGAATAATATTTTTTGTACAACATAAAAGTGGTTAATTTTTCATTAACATTTCTAAAGTCACAGAGGTTTTTTAATAACATTTAGCAAACTAGAAAACCTATGTAGGTTTTGAGTCAGTTAGCTTAAGAGAAAATGATCAATGGTGCACCTACAACACGGGATAGAGAAGCTTTGCATAGCCAGTCCATGCTGCCACCTCCTGTGACCCAGACGAGAATTGAAAGTCTCTGCATATTATGCATCTGCTTATAGCGACTGACTTCACCCAGGGGCATGTAAAAGGCTAACTGTGCATGGGAATATGTGTGGATGCTCTCTGTGCACGGGAATATGTGTGGATGCTCTCTGTGCACTTAGTGGAAACCTTTGCTGAGAAAAGCATGGATGCTGTGTTTTTTTACTTCTCACTGTGCATATGCTAGCTCTTGTGTCAATTCTCTGAGTCACTGACCTGGAACAGAGCCCTGACTTTACTCTGACTTAGATAGATGTAGATGAGCATACTTGTTCCAGGTCAATTAATCAGAAATGAATTAATCTAAAGGGTCAAAGGTGGTCAGAAATAGCATATATATCTTAGGAAAGGTTTATCTCATAGAGAGCCTAAATATTGCATATGGAGGCTCTTGATATCTCTGGGTCAAGTCAGCCACCACAAACACATACAAAAATCCCTTAAAGGCTAAGCATTTTAAAGTTTTTGGTAGAATGGAAAAGAGGTAAAATATCCGTGGGGGACTTTGTGTAAACTAATTAGAGATATTTTCTGTCACTTACTGGTCCTATGACACCTATACAAGAAAGGGAGGAGAGGAGTATATGTCATTAGGATAGCAAGTTACAGGCAGCAAAAAAAAATATGTTATTTTTCCTTACTTTACTAAAGTGCAATTCTTTATTTTTGTCTGTGTACCCAATTGGGAATCTTTCTCTGCGCTTGCTGTCATGAAAAGAATTTAGACCAAATCTCGCCAATAGGCACACAGCAACCAAAACAAAGACTCTAACCCTTCCTTGCCTTTTCCAAAACTAAATAGAATGTTTGCTGCAGTTGGGCTTTATGGAGCGGCAACATAGATGAAGCAAGATCTTACAATATAATTATGAAGAGGACTAAGTTATACCAGTGGAAATGTTGGTGTAACAAGTTTACAGGTTTAGGTGACCCAATTAAATTTTTTACCATTGGTCTTTTTTATGATATGCAGCATTGTAAACTGTCAAAGATCATTTATTTCTGAAACAGATATTGTAGTTAAACTAAAATATAGTAGTTAATTCATATTTATTGTGTGATTTATGTCATAGATTTCAGTACTTTATGACATCAACTAATCCAAAATAATGACCTAAAAAAAAGGGAAGGAGTATACAATGGGGGAGGCGTAGTACTTCAGTTAATGACTAAACAGCCATTGTTAGTGACAGCCCTGCTGTGATGGAAGGTCCCTGATCCAGCCTCTCTTTGTTTTCCTAACTCAGACAAAATGTGCAATTTCAGATCTTCTTTGCCTGCAGGCTTTTGGAAATGCTGCTATAAATACACAGCATAATGAGCAGAAGAAATTTGAATCAAATTAGTAGCTTGCTTCCCCTCGCAATAATCTGTTATCAGCTCACTTCCCAGTACCAGAAGACATTGCTAGCTGGCAGCTCAAGGAAGCATTTAGGATGATTAACTCCTCCAATTCGGGACGGAAGTTGGCTAGGGGTGAATTGGAGACCTCCCTGTGCACAAAATTGAAGAATGCAGTAAGCTCTAATTACCCAAAACATTTTAGGTATTGTCTGAATATGGGTTTTCAAAGAGTTGTGTAACACTAAGAGAAAGGATATCAAAATGTACAACATTACATTTTAATTATTACTGTGCTCCAAACAAGAACTATTTGCTGCAACTTATAGCAACTAATGCACAATTACCAATATAGTAGGCTGTAATAGTAGGATCTTTTGCATGTCTAAGTCTGATTGGTAACTGTGAGCAACAGCAGAATGCGAAAGAGTCTTAAAACTGGGTCCAATGATTTGACTATTTCTTTTTTTGGCAGTCGGTCCATATATAATATGTTTTTCTAAAATATGGTTTTTGTCAAATATGGTATTATTAATACTATTAGATGTATGAATAATATAAAAGATTATATATTTTGGACCATTTTTGGTGTCTGAGTGCTTGCCATTGTCTGTTCAATATTATTCTCTATGACATTGAAGACATTGGTTATGAAAGAGTTAAACTAACATATGTACAGTATTACCTATATGTAATGCAAAGAAACATACACAGTATTTGTGAAGGCAGCAATCCTAACAACCAGCTGATTTTATATAAGAGTTCAGTCTGCACAAAGCCCTAGGTTGTTCAACTTTTTTTCTGGAGAACCTCTTTAGTGGTTCAAGAGGCTCTTATGTGCAAATGAGCAACCAGCAATTTATGTTCTATAGTGCTTATATCTGCACATTTATATGTATGAGCATATCATTTCCATGACTCACCATTTTCAACCAGAGAAAAGTCATCTTGAGCATAACTCATATTTATGTAACATCACACTTGCACATGTGTGATAGTGCACTCAAGACAGTTCATGATGGGCTTTGACTTTTGCTTAGATATACCTGATCCATAAAACAGCATGTGTGCTGACTCCTTTTGGTTACCAACCTAATCTACACTAAAAAAGTTTGTAAACACCTGAACATCACATCTATATGAGCTTGTTGAACATCCCATTCCAAAACCATGGACAATAATATGAAATTGCCCCCCACCTCTTTGTTGCTTTACTCTTTCACTCTTCTGTGAAGGCTTTCCATATGATTTTGGACAGTGTTAATGGAAATTTGTGTGCATTCAGCCAAAACAACATTTGTAAGGTTAGGTATTGATGATGAACAAAAGACTTGGTGTGCAGTCTCTGTTTCAATTCAACCCAAAACTATTCAGTAAGGTCCAGGTCAGAATTCTGTACAAACCACTTGAGTCACTCCATACTAACCTCATCAAAACATGTCTTAATAAACATGGCTTTGTTCACAAGGGCAAAGTCATGCTGAAACAGAAAATCGCCTTCCCAAAGCTATTGACACAAGGTTGGAAGCTTATTATTGTCTAAAATGTTTATGCTGTAGCCTTCATGGTACCCTTCACTGGTAACACCTGAACACAATAATTTAGAGGGGTGTCCACATACTTTTGGCTTTTACAGTTATGTGTGATGGTTAGGTGTTCACACTCTTTTGGATATAGTGCATGTTCTGATACATTATGTTTTCTGGTTTATGGTACTTTAACCTGTTGACTCCTGCCCTATATTTGTTGTTCCTTGTAGTTATAATTCAACTTGATTCCAGGGCTCTCTTGTTTGGATAATATAATATTGTACATAAGACCTTAGGGTATCTAAGTTCCTGTAGTGGTATGAAGCTTTATGGGTAGGAAGGCTGTTAGAGGAGTAGAGCATAACTGCAGCAGCTATAACATATTATTCAGATATCAGTTGCAGACATTTCCAGATAATGCAGGAAATTGTTTTCTGTGTCAGGGCATTATAGTTAGTAATTACAGGTTGCAGTGTTTCTTTGGAGTGCTCAGAGGAAACATTTAAAGTACAGTCATAAATATAGTTATTAGTTTTGATGTTACCATTATACTTCAGTGTATTTCAGATATTTATGGCTACCTCTGGCTACAATGCTTGCACCCTTGCCTTGTAGTTTTAAAGCATTTGATTGCTTTATGGCAAAGTAACAGATTCCCCCCTATTTTTCCTCTTTTAGTGTCTGCATTCATTTTTAAGTGGACCTATTACTTTGCACTGCCTTTCCACTTGGGGGAAAGTTATACAGGAGCTGTATTAAAAATGAATACAACATTTCTTGTGGGCCAAAAGTACCTAAAATCGTAAACTCATCAAAATATTTAAATATTCATAAGCAACTAATTATACAAATCATGCATCAATGGAATATTATATTAAAATACGTGTAAAGGTAAAACAGTTTTTTATTTACAGTTGGATAGAGTAAGGAAGGGTTCTGCCCTCTGTCATGTTTTATTAAGGTCTGTGTCCCTACCGGGGAGCTTCACCCCTCTATTGGTCTTGATGGCCATTGTCACCAAGACAAAAAGTTAAGAGAAAATCCTAAATGTTTGCACTGAGAACAAGGCACATAGCAGGACCCATACAGTAAAATAACCTGTTTGTGGATTTCCTCCTTCCCTTCTCTGTTAAAAACTACAAAATAAAGTTTTGCTATACATACATTTTAAAGTATTAAATAGCAAACTGCTGTATAAATATAAATATAACATGCACAAAACAATGTTACATACATGCATTCTTCTTTCCTAATAAATAGTTTAATGAGTGTACAGTTTTAGGTGATTCGAGCCCATAGGAAATGTTGTAGAACATTTTGATTTGTGATTGTTAAAATTCACAGGTTTTGTTGAGTAAAAGACAATACAGTGTGTACTCTGCAATGTGACGTGTATTATGTTGGCACTATATAATGACAGAAGATTTTTTAAAAATCATTGGACTTGGTTTCTGGACATACTTTAGATTGCATCATATCTTATGTCTTGAAGGTACATTTTTCTTAATAGTATTTAATGTTCACTGTATTAACCCGTGTGCACCTTACTGTATAACTGGTGACAAATTGTTGCGTGCGTTTGTCGTTTGTTTTGCTTCACTGTATTAACCCCACATTTACATTTGTACAAATTTGTGTCCTAGGTAAAGCAGTGATATTCACAGTCCTGTTTGCTGACCTGTATTTATTTATTTTTTGTAGGTGACTTGCCTTCATGATTTCTTTGGTGAGGATGATGTATTTATTGCATGTGGCCCAGAGAAATTCCGATATGCTCAAGATGACTTTTCTCTGGATGACAACGGTGAGTCATGGAAATTATATGTTTTCATCTGCATTTTCTGTGGAATTTTCTTTATCAGTTCCTAAGGCTCCATTCACATTTTTGTGCTGTTAAATGTGTGTACATTTGCACTCAAATCACAATAAGTTCAGTGCCAAAATCAATGGAAAAATCAACAGTTACCTTAACACAGGGCTCATTAACATGTGACACAACGCATGCTAAAAGACATTCATTAATGAATTGCAATACAGTGCTAAAGTCTGAGTGGCTCTTAAAGCCCTGCAATCAGCATAAGTGGTGCATTTTGACATAGAAACTGTTCATTCCAAATGACATTTCATTATAAAAAATTTGGATACCCTTGAATTCTTTATTTATCCCATTTGCCGGTTTTCTTCCAAATGTAAGTTCGGATGAAAACGAATGCACCAGTCTAATAGCTAGGACTATTGAATAAAAGAAACATACAACAATTCTAAGTTAGAAATTATTTACAATGGTCAAATGCTGACTGACACAACATTAGTTTATAAAATACCATAAAACGCCAAACAATAATCTTTCAGATTGGTCCATGTGAACAATGGCCTTGTCAAGTCTTTTTCCTTCTTTTCTGAGCTGTAACTGGACAGACAGTGACTATGGTGAACATATTTCCCTAGCCATCAGTTTGTTTGCTTGCAACTATAATTTGTCGGTTCTCGCTCCTGTAAGCTATCTTACAAGACCCATGCTACTTTGCTTTGCTTCTGTCTACAGATGTGCAGCAAAGCATATAACAGCTTTGGGGAACAAGCTGCCATGCTGACTTGTCTTCTTTTGTATCTTTTATACTATCTTTCCCGGAGTTTGGTGTGAAAACCTGGCATTGTGTAAGTAAAAATAAATTCTGCCTGACCTCACAACAAACTCTATGGCTGGAACTCCAGGGGCAAACAGATTCTGCTGTCTGGCACATTTAGTGCCTGAAGGGAAATACAATAAAATGTAATCATTTTTATTTGATTCCTAATGAAAAAGCACATATTTATGCCAGGCTGTTTAGCTCTGGTTCACCAAATCTCTGTGCACTTTGTACCCTGCTTTTTTATTTATTTATTTAAACTCTTTCTGTTTGTAATTGAAGCAGACATCTCGCTGCTGTACTGTGAAAGCAGCCATTTTAGATGTAGTGTATATTCAGATCAGATATTTCAGTTTTGTATACTAAGAAGTTACTGGGAACTTTCTAAAAGTTAGTTTTTTGGTTAACTTAGCCTTAAAGATCTTAATAGGAATCTATAAAACTGGGCGCATGGGAGCTGTCATTGCTGATTTGTTTTTGAAGGTGCTCACCCTAAAAATGTCATCCTCATCCTTGCTTCTCTACATGGTGAGTCTCTAACTTAGGACAAATATAATAACACGAGGTTACATAGTTTGTCAGGTTGAAAAGAGACACAAGTCCATCGAGTCTAACCTGTAGAGGTAACAGAACGCTATGCCCACAGTTACCCACTGTTGATCCAGAGGGAGGTAAAAAACCATATTAAGCATAGTTTAATTTGCTCCAACAGGGGTGAAAAAAATCCTTTCTGATCCCATAAGGAAATCGGATATTCCCTAAATCAATAATCTCTGGTGCTTAATATACTTATGAGGTGTAGGGACATAGTTTATGTGCTCTTGCTTGTTCTTGTTTCAAAGCCTTACTACTAAGCAGTGAAAGAACGGCAAGCATGCCAATTCTTAAGGGTGCACTTTCAAATCCTAGTGAACAACGGCAACACCCTTATTTCAACCCTAGAAGATCTTTAAATCTGGGAATGTTAAAGTCTAACTCCAGTCATTTCTTTTCGTTTTTGGATAGTGTGGGAAAGAGCTAAAATGTCTGTCACGTTTCAATTTCCGATTCCCATTTAGGAGACTTTTTCCCCAATTCCTGTCCAAAACCAAACAGAAAATGTTTCTGTGAAGTTGGGCTTTAAGGGATTTGTAATACTTTGACAACTGTGACAACAACGTAGCTCCTTCTATATCAAGGGAGATCAAGAAACTTTACAATATAAATATAAGGACCCATTCAAAGCAGTACTACATTTATTGAAATGTCACAAATGACAGTTAATTAAGGTCTATAGGTATAGCTTGGTGCGAGGCAGTTGTACCGTGTCGCACCCCACTATGCTAAAAAAAGTACTGCAAGCTTTACTGTATTTCATTGCACAACACCACAACGCAGTGGTGTGAACAAATCACATCTGAAACAAGGCAAATTGTTGTGTCTTGTTTTGGGGCTGTGCTGGAAAAAAGGGTCAGCACAGCCCCAAGGCATCCAGTGTGAATGCAGCCAAAATGTTAGCTTGTTCCCTTGTTCCTTCTGTCATTAGAATTATACTGGACGCATTCAGGTTCCGGCCCATTCACGTTTTCTTTATCTATAGCCTGATCAAGTTGGCTGTAGACATAGGACACTCTGCATATAGAGAAATTTCAAAGACATCTCTTTAGATGTAAATACTCCCTAGGCTTGCTTATAAATGTCTGTCAGGAATCAGCAGGCAGCGTGCACATTTACAAAGATGGCAGGAAAAATTGTTTCATGTTGGCAAAAGAAAAACTGCAACCTCTTTTCTTTACCTGTCAACACATTTGTTTTTGTAGATGCTTCCAGACACTATACTGAAGACATGTGTTGTATAGAAATCATGATTTTAGGGGTGTTGGAAATTATGTAAGCAACATACGTTATTTTTTTGTTTTGTTGTTTTTGCTGGACACATCTTAAATAGCCTATATTCTGCCAAAAATCCATCAGTATTTGGGGAAAAACCACCTCCACTTTTAATTTTATTGTATTTTGTTATTCTACATAATATAGCAAATTTCTACAGTAGAGTTAATAGAACCATTTATATCAATCTAGCACTCTCAATTTGGGCAATTTGGGCTTTTTTTTTGTACTTGTGGTAAAAATTACTTGTGGTAAAAATTGATTTGATAAATAAATGGCTTAAGGCTGCCTCCCTTACATGTCCTGCTGATTTAGCAGTCTATGGACTGTGGGACATAGGTATTATAGTTTTATTTGTGTTGCACTAAAAAGCTTTAATCATTTGTTTTTGCCTATGCAGAGTGCCGTGTCATGAAAGGAAACCCTCCACCAACACCGACACCAAAACCAGGCCCCACTGCTCTGAAGAGTTCAGCCAAGAGTCCAGCACCACAACGCCGTAGCAAATCCCCTGCCGATTCAGGTTGGTAAAATTACTGAACAATTTCTCAAATACGGATATTTTTTCTATCTACATTGCACCATAACACATCCTGAATCACATGGTAGCAGCGGGAGGCCACACCCTGATTCACAGAGTATCAGCAGGAGGCCGCACCCTAATTAACAGAGTATCAGCAGGAGGCTACACTATGATATACAGGCTATTATTGGGGCACTACACCGATTTACAGGGGTATCTTTGGGACACCACAACCTGATTCACAGGGTATCCTTGCGATACAAAGCTCTAATTCACAGGGTATTGTCAGGACACCACACCTTTAACCACATAGTATCATCTAGATGCCACACCCTGGGTATTATTAAGAAACAACGCCCTAATTCGCAGGGTATAATCAGGATCCCACACCCTGATTCATAGGGTATCATTGGAAACCCACACCCTGATTTGCACAGTATTATTGGGACCTCACACCCTACTTCACAGGGTATAATTAAGACCCTACACCCTGATTCACAGAGTATAATTAGGTCCCACACACTGATCACAGTTCATAATCAAGACAAGAAGTGAGAAGAAATTCCTACAATGGGGAAAAAGTTATACTCACTTATACTTTACCGCCGAGCTGGCTTGCTCTTCTTGCTCTCTCTACCCTTTCACTGAAGCATTCTAAGGTCCCATTAATCATCACATTCTATACAGAGTGTGGGACATGCCAATGTTGCAGCGTAGGAGGATTCAGGGGAGCATCATTTTTTTTTAACGCATAGACAAAAATCAGCAGTTAGCCCCACTGCAAAGGTTAATAAATGTTTTGCCCGAAGTTCTTCTTTAAGGACAGGAAGTGCAGGCAAAGCAACCTGATGGAGATACAAACAGCATACAAAATCTGGCTGAGGTTCTAAGCCTTCTCTCCCTCTATCCAAAAATATATATAAATAAAAGCAAATAAATCAACCCTTGTTCAAGAGCTGGATCTTCTCTTTCAATTTGCAATTTGTGCAAATACATAAACAGAGCTTCGACAACAGTTATGATTCTACACCTGCTTTAAAAAAAAGACAAGATCATCAGGTACCTTGTTTTGCTTACCCCAAGTACTGGCGGCATCACTTAACTTCTTTGATACAGCATCTAGAAATTTCCCATGATGCATAATTTGACTGCTCCTTCAACCTGAAATCTGTGAAACGCAAATCAAAGAGTGCAGCAGAAAAACTTCTTGGCCAAGGATAATGCCGCTTAGGTGCAAGATCCCTGCAAGAGCAATGCATGGTAACCAATATTTGCATGTACAATAGGGTATTGAGAATTATTCTTTTTTTCCCTTATTAAGTGACACAAATAGGTTGGATAGCCCTTTTTGTCTCACACTTTTAGGGCACATTTACACTCCCATGTGTTGGTTAATGCACATTAACGCACGTGTTACGGCAGTGCATTCACAATGAATGTGCTGCCCTAATGCAAGTTAACATGTGTGCACCAACACACTGCACAAAACTGACAAAGTGTGAATGAGCCCTGAATCTTATTTAATATAAGGCAAAGATAAATGCACAACATATAATACTCCAAAACAAGAAATCAACACTTATTTTTCACCTAGCTGCTATAGGTTACTTTGCACATCATTGTAGCTCTTACTGAATAAAGCCTTCAGTTCACTTTTCTTCAAAATAATATTTTAAAGCCCAGTTGAAATCTCACATCTTTATATCACTTTGCAGTCCTGTTCTCACACATTGTGATTTTGTGACTACTTTTTGGTTTGAAAATGCCTTAAAATACATTTTTTCACTTAGTGAAACTATTCCTTCCTGACCTCCCACTTCAGTGCTCTATTTCTAGTGCTCTAACATGAGCCATTTGTTTGTATTTGTGTTTGTGTCATTGCTTGATTTGAATAAAAATTTCCTTTTAACTCCAGGGTAGTACTGAAAATAAAATAAGAACCAGTAATAAATAACAGAAGTGGATTAGGTCTAGATCAGCTTCTCTTTGTACTGTACAGCATAAATCCAACATGACTGATGTTTCTACAATGAACAATGCTGTTTTTTCATTTGCATGAAGCCTTGCTTTGAGGCTTCAGACAAAGTTTCGATTGGCAGTAGCATGAGATTATAGTAAAACTTTACTAACGTGTGTTTTCATGTATGGACTGTGTTACAACAAGGTCCATTCATTTTGATCTCAAGGCTGATATTGCACCTGGACAATTTTTCACAGCACATCTGAATTTACATCTGTGTGTTGTGGTGTGCTATACCACAGGTCATTTTTCTTCTTTACTATATATGTGCAATTAAGTGCCATTCAGAATGACTAACAATGCCAAGCATTGCGTTAACATGCGCTGTGGTGCCATGTGTTAAAACATGTAAGTTAACGGGCGAACGGGCATTAGCACAGCTCACAAGTGTAAATCCATCCTTAAATACCACAGGATTTGCTAGTCATAAAGTTTAAAGCAGGCAGTAGCTATATGCTGACTTTGGGTCACAGGAGTACATTATTAAGGGGATTATTCACAGAGTGGCTGAAGGGAGCCAAGTGAATAACTGAGCCGAAGTGAAGTGAGCCAAACGTCGTTCGGCTATTCACTTCAGCTCTGTATGGCTGATTTCAGCCGTACATCGGTTAAAATCAGCCATACATTGGCTGCCTTCAGCTGCCTTCAGTCAGCCGAACATGCTCTGCACGTTCGGCTGAGCCAAAGTGCAAAAGCCATTCGACTCAGCCGATCTAATATCTGGATCGGCTGAGCCGAAGCTCCGGCAGTTCACTCACTAACGTTCACCCCTATTCTCTGTACACCGGCTAAAATCAACCGTACATTGGCTGCCTTCGGCTAGCTTCGGTCATCCAAACATGCTCAGCATGTTTGGCTGAGCTGAAATGCAGAAGCCGTTCAACTCAGCCGATCCAACATGTGGATCGGCTGAGACGAAGCTCTGGCAGTTCCCTCGCTGTTGTTCGCCCCTATTCTCATAGGGACTGAAGGACTGAATGGCAGTGAGTGAATAGCCGAATGGTGTTGAGTGGCATTAAGGCCGGCTATTCTGCTTGCTACCACTGAGGTAGCGAGCAGAATTGAAAAAAAAATATAAACAAAAGGAAAAAACAAATGTAAAAAAAATGTAAAGACATTTTTTTAAAATACAAATTTTAACAATGTTAAGAAAATACTAAAATAAATGTAAAGAAAAGAAAAAAAAACATTTAAAAAAATGTATTCCCCTAAAAGTCACACCAGGCCCTTTAGATCTGGTAGGAATTTTAAGGAGGAATCAAAATGGGGGGAGGAAGGGGGGGGGGCTGCATGCATTATTTGTTTTCCAGCGCAGTATGGTGTAAAGCAATCAACCACATTGTGGCCAACAGAACTGAATGAATTGTCACTTTGTGACATTTTAATAAAGTTCTAACAAAAAAGTTATAGTACAATAACTTCCAAGTATAGTTTCCAGTACATATGCACCGCAGCCTTCACAGTAAACAGTAGTGGTTGCGTTCTTAATAGCTGCTGGTGTGAATAGTGCTTAGAATGGATAACTTTGTATTAAAAGCGTAGAAAATAGTAAGTCCCTCTGCACTCCTCACAGAGCTCCCGGCCCAAGTACTTGTAGTGGTGCTCGCAGTGATAATCACGAATGGCACCGTGCAACAAACAGTGGAAAGCAGAAATCACCAGCACTCAGTAAATATCTTTGATGTCCATTTAATCGGACCAATCGTCAATTGTCATGTACAACATAGCGACGTTTCGGGACCGCACAGGATCCCTTCATCAGGGCGACAATGTAACAACATTGCATTAAAAGCAACTAGAGATGGGATAGCTTGTTTTGACGCTCCTTTACTGATTGTTAAAAAGATGTCAAAAATTTCAATCATTTGGGTACAGGAATACTTTCAATTTAGGCAGATATACTGGGCCAAACTGATTACAAGGAAAAAAGGTGAGTGGCCTTGCTGATCATTATTTTACATGATTAGGTTGGTACCAGAAGTGCTTGGTCAGCACATAAATATGCATAATGTACATAACAGCTGGGTAAAGTCATTCAGCCACTTATACAATTTTTATGGGCACTCCAGTGCTTTCACTGGCACTGGGTATGTTAGGTCCTATATTTAGTAGTAGCACATTGGTTATTAAGGGCCACTGGCCCTTGGAGGAATGTTCTGCAGGGATTTAGAGTGAACCCTTCAATATATTTGAACTGACAAGACTGTTGCATTATGTGACTGTACAATGTTTTTTTTAGTGTGTCATATGAATTACGTGATGAAACACAGTGTCATTTTTTTGATAGCTGAAATGATTAAATAGTGGTACTGAGACATAGTTTTATGTGACTAAAATTTAGTTTAAACCAGTATAATGACATTTTGAATGATATCCATCTGCTTGTGTTTAGAAAAGTGCCATTTAATAGGACCACATTTTACTTGTGAGATTCCTATTAAAATAAATGTTTCATGAAGTTGCTTAATTATTCATGAGAAGTCCATATGTCCTACAGCTCAGAGTTTACCATTTCCTTCCTTTCTTTGGCCCATCTATGTCATTCTTAAAAGAAAAGCAGAAAAATAGATTTAATGTGTTCCAAAGAAATAAATGTGTATTATGCTAGGATTAAAGACTTGTTCCTTTTGGGAAAGGCATTTACATTCCAGCCATGGTTTGAGCATGGAGTTGTTCATTATTCAGGGTTGATGTTGAATGGACCGCTATAGTGAAAATTATGTATTCTGGCCACTATAAGTGGTTAATACTTGTAATACTTTAATCAGTATATTTTGTTACTTCACATGCCTTCATTTATATGTTTTTCCACATTTACATGCAGACCAAGCTCTCCAGCAAAAGTGACAGTCCCAGGTGCTTCCACTGGTCAGCATTTATTCTTATGGCCTAAACCTTTTTCCAAAATCAAAAAAAGACTGTTTCCATAACTACCTAAAATTTTTAGCTGGACTTATGCTTTAATTTATTTGTCACTTAC